AGGGCCACGGGGGTGTGTCCGCCGGCCAGGGCCGGCCCGTCTGCAGCGGCTCTTAGCAAGAAGGTGGAGGTGACACACCTCGGTAAGGAGCCAGATGGCTGGCTCTGGTAGAGGATAGTGCACTCGCGCTCTGGGCACGTCTGAGACGACAAGCCAACACCTGCACGTGGGGACACTCCCTAGTGCTGACACAGCACAGTCAAGTTTCTTTTCAAGCTAAAAGAGATCGCTGTGCCTGAACTCTCTTCGGGGCTGGCAGGTGGCGTGGTGGTTAAGGGTGCTAGACTCCCACGTGGCCAACCACAGTTCGAGTCCCAGACCTGGCAGCTTGCTTTTTCACTTTCTCTCTCTCTCTCCTTTCTCTCTCACTCTGTCCCCTCTGGTCAAAATTAAAAATAAAATAAATAAAGTTAAATTAAAAGATAATTCTTAAAAACAAATCTCTTTCCGAGCTCTGAAATTTTATCAGGTTTACTGTATATTAGAAGACATCTGACCCAACAAGGGACGGAAATCAGAAAGGGCCAATACACTGTGTCACTGCAATACGCGAGGCTGGGAGGGCGTGTTCAGTCAACGCAGTGAGGACTTCCTCATTTCAAACACAGCACCGTTAAACAAAGAGGGACAGGCGGGCAGTGCGGTGGTCCAGGTGCTGGACTCCCACATCACCAACTGTGGTTCGAGTCCAAACCTGGAGGCTTGTTTTCTCACTCCCCCCATGTCTCTCTTTGGTGAGCATATACACCCTGTAGCAAATTAAAGTAATAGTAATAATGATAAATAAAATAAATCTAAAAATAAATAAATAAAATTAAAGAAGGATACAGATGCCTATTGAAACTACTGAAAAATACTGAAACTACGTTATATAATACTGTCTGGTGGATCGGGACCAGCAGTTGGCATAATGGCTACAATGCTGGACTCCCATGTGGTCAACTGCGGTTTGAGCCCTGGACCCGGTGGCTTAAACTCATGCCGGGTGCATGTGTGTATGTGCCCAAGATCTTGAGAGAAGAATGGAGGACAAGGGATTGTGGTGTTGCCATACCCCCGGGGTGGGGGGTGATTTCTCGCTTTCTGTCTCTCTGTCGAGCGCACGCGCTCTATAGCAAAAACCTCTCCAAGAAAAAAAAACAAACTGCCTGGTGGATGCATGTCACTATCTATGGGTCGAAACCCATAAACTGTCCAAAGGCATGGGAGAACCATACGCAGACACTATAGTCTTGGGGGATATGTCAGCATAGGTTCATCATACCATACCACTCGAGAAAAACACACGTGCTTTCCACGTGTGTACGTGTGTTAATATACATGCTTCATCCATTATATAGCACAGGTGCCTACAGGGTAGGGAGGGAAGAAGGGAAACCCTTTCCAGGGTTTGGTCACAATGAGAGCCCTGTGCTCTGCCCCGCCAGAATTTTGGGCACACCTGCACATGTATTTTCAGGCCACCTGGTGGGAGACCTGAGCCCCATCAGCATGTGGCTTCCTATACCTGTATGCCACCACCTGTTCCCGGAGGCCAGGTATCTGCTGGAGGTGCTGAAAATGGGGAGGCTCTGCTTGTGTGGGGTAGGAGGCATGGGGGAATCTGTGCTTTCCTCTCAATGCTGTTACAAACCTAAAACCTGCTCTAGAAAATACAGCCAATTAAAAACTTGCTGGTGGCCAGGTGCACCCAGGGACTCTGGTTTGACTGGTATGAGGGTCGGCTGGCATCAGGCTCGTCAGTGGCCCTCAGGTGCCCCTAACCGTGTGCTCACCCTAGTGCAGCAGAAAGGCTGGGACGTCCCTTACGGGATGTGCAGTGAGACCGGCAGGCCGGGCTGAGCCTCGCCTGGCACTTTTACAGCTGTGACACACGCAGCAGTGCACATGCGAGCCTGAATTCCCCACAAGCCAGTGCACACTCCCCTTCCTCTTCATCAGTAGCACGCACACTGACGCGCACACGGAGGTGCGCGAGAACCCCCTTTATTCTGAGGCCCGCACGGCAGCCTGCTCAACGCGGCAGTGGCCTACCAAGTCCCCGAGCGTGTTTCTGATCCCCATGCATGCTGCTCTTTATTATTTTTGTGGCTAAAAACTTAGTTTAGAAGCCAATGCAGCATGCCCAGGCATTTGGACACTGTAAAGCCTAGTTCTGGATCCCTTAAGATCCCCGGGGAAGGCCTGAGAAGCACTGTCTTCTTGCTCTGAAGTTCCCGTTTACTGCAGGTGTAACCCCAGCCTGCTGCCGCAGCCTGGACTGGACAGACGAGGGAGGTGACTCAAACCGGGAAGAAACACGTTGCCTACTTAGGGCTATGGACACTCTCAGAGCAGTCAGCTACCAGGTCACCCTCTGGGCAGGTTTTTAATAAGTCCGACATGATGCAAATTTGCTGTGCCGGTTTCCTCTTGGAAGCCCAGGTCAGGCCTAACCTCCATGGTGCAGGCAGGAGGCACTGGCCGCACAACTCTGCAGCCCTGGACAGGGCTGGGCAGACCTGAGCCCCGTGCGTCCATGTCCTGGCTGGCTGGCTGGAAGGCTGGGGGTGGGCTGTGGCACCACAAGGGCCTGTCAGGGGGTCCCTGTGTCTCCCTCTCTCTCCTGGGAGAAAGAAAAGTCTGATGGCTTCTCTCCTGCTTCTTTAGTCTGGAATCCTCCGCCCACACACCAGGTTTCCAAGTGCACCATGCTTCCTGCAGCGGCGGCTGCGCGGCCATCGGCCTGGCGCACTTCGCAGCAGACTCCAACACAGAATGCTTGAACTCTCTGGGCTTCAGGCCGGCCGCCTCTACAAGCCTACAGACTGTTTAGAGAGCCTACAGACTGTTGAGAGCCCCCCAAAGTCACTTTGGTAAACCTCCCGCCCTGACCCTCTCTTGCCCTGCTCCTCAGCACCTCGTGAACACGTGCCTGGGGACACCTTCCAGCGAGAAGCAAGATCTCCTTTTGGTTCTGCTCCTGCAATGAGCCGGAGTCCCTCTACCCGGCCCTCAGCCCCGGGGGACAGGGACGCCTTGATCTCACGGAGACACTGCCTGGTGTCACCAAACCCCTCAACGATATTTACAAGAGAGTGAACAGATAGCAGCTGGATTTTTCAGGAGTCCTGTAACGTGGTATTACCGTTACTCAAATATGTAAGTACCCACTTTCTCCTAAAATGAAGAAGCCAACCTGCCCTTAAATGGATGCCTAACCCCAATCAAACTCTCTCCGTTCTTAGAAAAATCCGGCAGGAGTCCAGACTAACAGCATCACTGTCTCACCACCAGAAAGTGTTCAAAGCGTAAACACTCCGTCTGGGACAGGAAGTCAAAGACAGAGGAATGAGAACATCCCTGCCTTCTGAGACGCGGCTTTATGAGAACCAGAAAGGTGATGTCAGCCAAAGGGCTCGCTCACCACAGTTGATAAGCGTTGGGTCTGTGGGGAGGCGGTGCCCATCGACCCCACACAGGCACACATACAGAAGAACACGCACAGCGAACATGCGTGCAGGCCACGGGACTGTGAGCAGGGGTCGCTGCCACAGGTCCGTGTTTTACTGAGGGTTTACACCCTAACCTTCCCCACTACACCAGCTCCCCAGAGCGGGGCACTCGCGGGTTACGTAAAGCCGAACCAGGAAAAGCCACGAGGCCAGGAGCTGTTCGTGGAAGACGCACTTGGACTCTTCCTCCCTAACGTTCCTTTGGGCCACACGGCAGCAGCAGAACGGAGCGCTCGGCTGTGCACCAGAGGGCACGGCAGTGTAACCACACGGGACGGCCCGGGCTTACCGCGGTGCCTGAGTGCCCGGACCGCCCGCCAGGCTAAGGACAACCAAGACCGATCGGAGGGGCCTTCTGCAGGGACAGGAGAACACAAGATGATGCCTGAAAGTGAACTGCGTAAATTAGCTGGCTGGAGTAGAGGAAAGTCAGTCATTATGTCGGAAAGGCAGGCTGACCTCTGAGGAGGAAGGGGAGAGGTGGAGGAGAGGAGGGCAAGGAGAGGGAGATGGGAGGGGAAAACGCCTGGCAGAGGCTACACGATGTCCACACTGAGAAATCGGGGTGAAGGGTAGATGGTGTTCTTTGTGTTATTTTCCAACATTTCGTAAATCTGAAATTACATCAAAACGAAAATGGAAATGGCAGTGGAGCTCCTTTTCGCCTCCACCTGGTAACTCAAGACGGTGCTATGTGGAACTGTCTACAAGGAGCTATGAGGAACTATGAGGAACGCGTGACTCAGCGGGGCCCTCGGGGCCACTGGAACCGTGGGGGCCTGTGCCCCTGTGCCCCAGCAAGCACTATCTCCGCCAACACTATCTGTGCTGAAGGCAGCTGCCTGCAGGCTCTGTCCCCTCCCAGTCAAGTGCTCTAATCTTTAGCTCCAGGCTCAGAAATGCAGCCCTCTGAGTGCCATTACAGGTGAAAAAGCTCCAGTCCACAAGGGTGAGACCATCAAAGGCGTCTACTGGGCTGTAATGCATGATGACTTTTCAGATGACCCAAGACCACGGGGAGCAGAGACAGAGCTGAACGGTCTGAACGCCCTTTCCTGCGGTGCCGTGCTGGCCTGACCCTCACACAACCCGAGAGTGAGCGGCCCTCGGCACGGCTGAGCATGGTAAAGCTCAAGAGGAGAAAGGAACGACCTCTGCTGTTGTTTATTTTTAAATCATTTATTTAATTTTGCTTATTATTATTATTTTAGTCTGGCCACAGAGAGTGAGAGAGAAAGTGAGAAAGCAAACCACCAGGTCTGGGACTTGACCTGCGGATGGCCATGTGAGAGTCTAGTACGCCACCTCTCAGCCCAGGGAACAATCTTTGTTACGGCCATCTCAGCTGCTCAACAGCCTTTTCCATTTACTTTTTTTAAAAAAAGAATTATTTACTTAATTTTATATGTGTGTGTGTGTGTATAAAGTTGCTGTAGAGAACGGGCCCTCCTAGAGAAAGTGAGAAAGAGAGCTATCAGGTCTGGGACTCGAACCCCTCTGCCATGTCCAGCACTTTCTCCTTTATTTAACAAAGAAACTCCCCCCTTTTAATAGTCGTTAAGTATTTTAGTTTACCGAGTGGCTGGCTGCACTGCCCGAAGTTTGGATAATGACTCATCGGTGACAACTGAGAGCATGCCAGTAAGTCATCTGAAACCAGATCTGGCTCAGGACCGACAACAGAATGCTCGGAGTGCCTGGTCCTCCTAAAGGTATGTTTCCAGATAAAGGAACCTCCTGCTTCCTGACTTACTGTAAATATTTAGCAGAACGAAATCTGTTGAATTCTTGAAGTCGTGCTGAGGACTGGCATGACTTTACTCAAAAGGCTTCTGGATGGCAGGAACTGCTGGGAACAACCAAGGCTGTCAAATGGCGAAATCGCATTTTGAGGGGGCTGGTACGAAATAACTTTTCAAGCCACAATGACATTTTGAAATAATTTCCAGAACCAAATGTTTATGTAAATTCCCATCAATGGGGAGCTGTTAAAATAGGTTTCAGTATATCCACATAAGGGAAGAATGAGGAAGTTCTTTAGTGCTGGTTTGAAAAAAATCTCCAAGACAAATTATCAAATGAAAACAGAATATGTACAAAAATAACTAAAATGGATCATAGACTTGAATGTAAGAGCTAAAACTGAAACTCTCGGAAGAAAACATGGGAGTAAGCCTTTTTGCCCTTCTATTTAGCGATGGTTTCTTAGATATAACACCGAAGCATGAGGAACAGAAGAAAAAATAGGTAAACTGGACTTAATACAAATTTAAAACTTTTGTGCTCCAAAATATCAAAAAAAATAAGATAGCCCCAGGAATGGGAGAAAATATGTGAAAATCATTTATCTGATAAGAGATTTGTATCCAAATATATGAAGAACTTTAAAAATTCAACAGTAAAGGGACCAGCAGTTGGTGTAATGGCTGTGTCGCTGCACTCCCACGTAGTCAACCGCGGTTGGAGTCCCGGATCCGGTGGCTTAAACTCACGCCGGACGCACGTCCGTGCGTGCCCAGAATCCTGAGAGGAGAGTGGAGGAGAATAGATTGCAGTGTGGCCACCCTCCTGGGGGTGTGATTTCTCGCTTTCTGTCTGTCTCTCTCTGTCTGTCTGGCGAGCGCACGCGCCCTATAGCAGAAACCTCTCCAAAAAAAAAAGAAAAAAAAAAAACAACCGTAAAAAGATAAATCAACCAATTTAAAAATGAGTAAAAGACTTGAATAGACATTTCTCCAAAGAAGACATCCAGGGACCAGCAGTTGGTGTAATGGCTATGTTGTTGGACTCCCACATAGTCGACCACAGTTCGAGTCCTGGACCCAGTGGCTTAAAACTCACGCCGGGCATGTGTGTGTGCGTGCCCAAGATCCCGGGAGGAGAATGGAAGAGAAGGGATTGTGGCGTGGCCATTCTCCCTGGGGGTGATTTCTCGCTTTCTGTCTCTCTGTCTCTCTCTGTCTGGCGAGCGCACACACCCTATACCAAAAACCTCTCCAAAAAAAAAAAGACATCCAAACACCAATAAGCACCTGAATAGTTGGCAAAACAACAGTAGTCCCTAGGGAAATGCATATCAGAACTACAATGAAATACCACTTCACACCCACTAAGATGGCTATCATCAAAATGACAGTTGAGGGACCAGCAGTTAGCATAATGGCTATGTCACTGGACTCCCACGTAGTCGACCGTGGTTTGAGTCCCGGACCCAGAGGCTTAAACTCACGGCGGGCTCGTGTGCGTCGTGCCCAAGATCCCGAGAGGAGAATGGAGAAGGGATTGTGGCATGGCCATCCCCCCCAGGGGGGTGTGATTTCTCGTTTTCTCTCTGTCTCTGTCTGTCTTTCTGGTGAGTGCACGCGCCCTATAGCAAAAAAACTCCTCTCAAAAAAAAAAAAAAAAAAAAAGACAGTCAATAAGAAATGTTGGAGAGGATGCTGAGAAATTAGAACCCTCTACATTGCTGGTGGAAATGCAAAGTGATGTATGTAGCCTTTGGAAAACAGTACGGCAGCTCCTCAAACGGTCAAATAGTTACCACAGAACTCACAAGCACACTCTTTGGTATATATCCAAGGGACAACATGTCTATCCACTCACAAATGCAAAATCAAAATGTGGTATGGCCATACAAGAGAATATTATTTGGTCACAAAAATAAAATAAATATTGGGACCGGCAGGTGGTGTGGTGGTTGAGGGTGCTGGACTCCCACATGGCTGACCACAGTTCAAGTCCTGGACCCGGCAGCTTGCCTTCTTATTTTCTCTCTCTTCCTCTGTCCTTCTCTGGTCAAATTAAAATAAAAATGAAATAAATAAAGTTAAAATAAAAAATAATTCTTCAAAAAAAGAAATATTGATAAATGCTTCATGTTGGATGAACCTTGGAAACATCATGCTAAGTAAAAAAAAAAAAACAGATGCAAAAGGCCCCATCTTGTTTAACTCCATTTATATAAAATTTCTAGACTAGAGAAACATAGAGACAGAGTAGGTTTGCAGGAGCTGGTGGAAGACAAAATAGGGAGTGACCCCTAACAGGTGCAGGCTTTCTTAATGGGGAAGTGGGAGTGTTCTAAAATTAGGTAATAGTGATGGCTATGTTATTCTGTGAATATCCAAAAAAAAATCACTGAATTCTACATTTTAAAAGAGCAATTCATAGTATGTGAATTGTATCTCAATAAAGCTGATGTTCAAAATAAATAAAAAAACAAGCTGCAGAACAGTGTATGAGATGCTATCAATTATTTACAGACTTGCTAATATCTCAATAAAATACCTCTAGAGGGATACACAGGAAACTAACATTGGCTTCCTCAGCAAGGGAGCTGGGGGTAAGGAGAAAAAATTTTAACTATGTACTCTTGTTTTGGCCTTTTTGTTGAAGTTTATTTATTTCAATGAGCAAGAGAGAGAGCGAGAGAGCACCCCTAAAAGGATCCTGATGGTGCACTCACCCCCATCTCAGCCAACCTGGATCACGCACACACGCCTGCCTGGCATGCACAGTGAGGTCTCCAGAGAACTGAGAACCTTTCCACAGCCTCACAGAGTTTAACCACTGCACCAGAGTTCAGCTCCCTCTTCCCTAACTTTTGAAACGTTAGTCTAGAACTATCCAAAAATTTTAATTAGAGTAAAATGAAATGAGAAACTTTTTAAAGAATTATTTCATTTTATTCATTCATTCATTCATTTATTTATTTGACCAGAGACAGAAAGAGAGAGAGAGAGAGAGAGAAAGCAAGCCACCAGGTCTGGGACTCAAACTGTATTCAGCCGTGTGGGAGCTTCCAGCACCTTAACCACCATGCCACCTGCTCGTCCCAAATTAGAAACTTTAAATAAACTAGTTCCTTCTACTGTTGAACATCGTGAGATTCTGTGGAAAACAACAGGCGTGGGGCTGCAGACGATAATCAGTGCTAAGATCAGGTAGAAGTACAAAACCGGTGCAGCTGTCTCTACTGCTCAAGTCTGGCTCCATCATCTGTTCTCACCTGGCCTTCTAACTATGTATCTCAGTGTCTATTTTGTTTGGAAACCCTCAGCTCGGCCAATTTCTCCTATAAAGGACTCAATTCTCAAACTTGCATAAAAGAAAAACATCCGAAACAGATTTGCTCTTCCATTTTGTGCCAAACCTACCTCTATCAGATGTCATAAGTTAAAGAAAATTATGAATAATAAATAGCCCTAGTTTAAGAATAAATGACCCTTAGAAACACCTGTTCAATCTGTTTCCCTCCAAATGGATTACAACTGCCCTCTGAAAGCTATTCTGCGCTTGTCAACAACTCTGTCACAGAGCTAGACCGGAAAGAGGCTTGCATTATATAACAGGCTGTGACCGCTACATCCAGTCAGTGGTGGCAGAGGGAAATACCCCCACCCCGTGATAAAGAAGCTCTCCCTTCCATCTGACTCTGTACTTTATCACTGATCTGACTGGACAGACCACATTATCTAGGCTTCTGTCAGCTGTGCATAGACCATTCATGCCCCATTCCCCCACCCCTCGCTGAGCTGTCCCATGATGCTGTCTGGGTGAGCTGAGACCAAGACCAAGACCAAGACCAAGACCTTCTTGGCTACTGGCAGGATAAAGACCTTCAAAGGCTGGCTCCAGATTACCATGCTAACTGATTTCCCACACTCCTCATCTTACCCCAGAGCCTACATTTCTTTTTTTTCTCCTTTTCTTTTTTTTTAGAGAGTTTTTCTTTTCTTTTCTTTTTGGAGAGGTTTTTGCTATAGGGCGTGTGCGCTTGCCAGACAGAGAGACAGAGAGACAGAGAGACAGAAAGTGAGAAATCACCCCCCAGGGGGGATGGTCACGCCGCAATCCCTTCTCCTCCATTCTCCTCTCGGGATCTTGGGCACACATGCACACGCACCCAGCGTGAGTTTTAAGCCTCCGGGTCCGGGACGTGAATTGCAGTCAACTACGTGGGAGTCCAGCGACATAGCCGTTACGCTAACTGCTGGTTCCCTAGAGAGGTTTTTGCTACAGGGCACGTGCCTATGCCAGAAAGACAGAGAGTGACAGAGAGACAGAAAGCGAGAAATTACCCCCCAGGGAGGATGGCCACGCCACAATCCCTTCTCCTCCATTCTCCTCTCGGGATCTTGGGCACACATGCACACGCACCCAGCGTGAGTTTTAAGCCTCCGGGTCCGGGACGTGAATTGCAGTCAACTACGTGGGAGTCCAGCGACATAGCCGTTACGCTAACTGCTGGTCCCAGAGCCTACATTTCTGCACTAAACTTTAAGCTCTTTCTCTAGCACAGGATGCTCTTTATAAGCATGCTACGCTTTGTACCTGTTGACGGAAATAACCAACTCTATAAATTTGATAATTAATGTGGTTTATTTCTAAACATGAATATGAGTGATTGACTTGGAGAAAGGCAAGCGTGTCTTTCTCCAGGTGCTCAGACATGAGGGTTCCTTTTATTCTGTTGAGAACAGAGACAAAGTTTGGAATTTAGTTTAGTTGAAGTCTTTCCATTGGTCTGGCCCCAAAAGTTGGGACATTTAGAAGCTGGGGCTTGGGGGGGGGGACTCATAATTTATAGATGGGTTTTGTAGTTTTTAGGTTGGTGATTGGAAAAGGAAAGTCTGCTGAGATCAGCCAAAGAAAGTCCTTTAACAGAGATAGGGAGGGTCAATTACATCACAAAGATACTATATCAGGGACA